AATGAACAATCATTTTTTGAGTGTGCCTCCTGGGCCAGTAGCACCAAACCTGCCTGAGGGATTATAAAGCAAGCAGAGTCCAAGGTGGAACTCTGGGGTGGCCTGGGTGGTTTATGTTTTAGTGACCCTCTAGGTAATTCTCATATTTTTAAAATGTAAGGGTTACTTCATAAGATAAAGTGACATCTAGCTAGAATGATAAGGAAAGCAGGTAAGGCTTTACTCAGTGAATTGTAGAGCGTTGGAAATTGGGCAGGATCTTGATAGTGGTGATGACAGTGGGTTTTGAATCCCAGGGATGTTCTGAAAGAGCTGGGCCTCTGGTTTGGGGAGGAATGGGAGATGGGTTTCTGGAGGAGTTTAGAGATGGAGTGCTTTCTTTTTTTTCTTAGCTATTGCTGGAAATCATTGACCTGATGAATATTTTATTTGTAATGCTGATTCCCCTTAGCCAGGCATGGTGATACATCTCTGTAATCCCAGCTCCTCAGGAGGCTGAGGCAGAGGGATTACAAATTTAAGGCCAGCCTGGGCAATTTAGCAAGATTCTGTTTCAAAAAAATAAAGTGTAAACTTGGGAAAATTGATTGCATAGTCTGTAAAATGGCCATAAAGATAAAAATTTCCCTTAGTGGTACTAATGAAATGATGGTACATTTTCTTCTTTTTTCCTTTTAGGGAAAACATAAAACAGATAGTGAAACTTCTTGCAAGTGTTCGAGCTTTGGATCATGCTATGTCTGTTGCAAGTGATCACAATGTGAAAGAATTTAAGTCTTTGATTGAAGGAAAATAGATACCTGAGACTGAAAGCCTATCTGCTTTAATACCATTCCCAGTGTATAAATTTGTATATATGTAAAGTTTCTTAAACTGTAAAATACTGATTGTTTTAATACAACAAAGCCCCACCCATATTCAATTCTGTGTCCTTAAATGCAATTTCTTCAGAATGAAAGGAATTGAGATTATTTCTAGGAGTCTATGAATGTTTTCCTTACTGCCTGTCTACTTTGTTTACAAAAGTATTTTGTATGATCATTCTGATTAATTGTTAGTTAACTGTCCTCTAAACGCTGTGTGCAGTGTAAATTGTGTAATTATGCATATATATATTTATACCACCATGGACTTTCACACTGGAGATTTGTGGTGTTTTTCTACAGAGGAAGCCTTTTAACAACAGAAAATTATCCAGTAGCAGATTTTCTTAGGGAAACTACTATACTGTTGCAACAAAAGGGCTGGCAAGTGACTAAATAAACGTTCATCTGCTTTTGGTTAGCGTTGCTATCACTGTAGCTGTGCTGCCTTAAAATTGAGAGCTGAGTTATAGACTTAGTCATTGAACGAATGTTGAACTCAATTACTTGAATTAGCATTACAGGCAACTTTGGGTTTAATGGAAATCTACAATATATGCAGTATACTCTCAGATCGAACATAGAAGTTTAATTTTTGAAAATAATAAGCCCACAACCTAAATGCATGGTTTAGGCTGACTGTCCTGTCTCATTCATGACTTTATTACCGCCCAGCTTATGGATACATGCATTTGAATTTTAGTAGTCTATAATTATATTTAAAAATCCCACATATGTGAGTTATATATGCAATAAAGAATACGCCTTGCTGATTAGCCACACCCAGGCAATTTAATATCCATGGTCTTCTATAATGTTTGTACCACATTGTAAATATTCAGAGAACTTGTTTTAAAGTTTATGCTTTCTGATTCTGTGATTTTCAAAAGAACTTTTTGGAAATTAAGGACTATTGTTTGATAATTGTATATGTAATTAAGCTTTAGCCAAGCATTAAATTAATTTTTAAATATATCCTTTGTTGTATTTTGCATCTCAAATGACTTAATATAGTGAGACTGTTGACATCCATGTGCACCCTTCATCAAGACAAATTATACATAGAACAGTATTATGCACTGTCCTTGCTCTGTCAGTTTTATCTTTATTGCAGGAACATTGCTTATTTCTACATAGTCATTATGGATAAATTTTTGTTAAATCTTAATTGTTCTCTAAATAGAATTACAGGCAGAACATTAATTCTCAACTTCTCAATAAACATCCCCATGTATTTGGGTCTTAAACTATGTGTTTCCAAATCCATTAGATGATTACTGTCCCTGTATCTTTTTAAGAACTCTTAAAGTAAACTCAGATTTTACTTTGTGAAATCCTTTAGGCTACTTAGGTTTCAGAAATGGGTCTGAACACTGCACAAGGACTTCGATCCAAGTTGAATTTAGTGTAGAACTGTGCATATAACATAAATGGTTTTCACATCTCAACCAGAAAGTACTCATTTATTTCATTTGAAGGGAATTCTCATTTGTTATAACAAATTAAACAAGTGAAGTGGGTGGTTTAAAACAAGGCTTTTATTTACTCATGGGCTGAAGTTATAAATCAAATGTTAGCAGGACCATGTAAAGGCCCTAGGCTCAAACCCTTCCTCACCTCTTCCAACTTGTGGCTGCTGATCCTCCTCGGTGTGATTACATTGTGCTAGTCTCTGCATCTGTCTTCACATGGCCTCTGAGTGTGTCTGATGTCCGCCTGCCCACTTGCCTTCCTCCTTCCCTCCTTCCCTTCTTCCTTCCTCTCTTCTTTCAATGTGCTCTTGCTATGTAGTTCAGGCTGGCCTCGAACTCACAGTAATCCTCCTATCTCAGCTTCCTGCGACACTTGTCCTGGTGTCTTTAGGACACTTGTGATGGCATTATGGCCTACCTGGGTAATCCAGAATAACTTGCAAGATCCTTAATCATGTCTTCAAAGACTGTTTCTACCTAAATCACCATTCACAGGGTTGAGGGAGTAGGATGTGGATATTTTTTGGAGTGGTATTTTTGAGCCTGTCCTAGGCTTCAGTTTCAAGGGTCAGGAACATACATATTCTTTTATGTAGTATACTTGGCATAGTCTTAGAATCTCACCAGGAAGTTAGCAAATGCCTCTTAACCTGTATTTTAAGTTAGCCTGCCCTAAAGACACTTAGGTGTTCGGTATTAATTTGTGTAGCTATTTTCAAACATTGTAATAAAAGAAGTATAAATAGGAAAGGAGGGCAAGAAAAGAAATAATGTACAGAAATCTGTTAGTAAAGTCCCCTAATACACCACAGGTTTGTGTATAATTTGTGACTAAAATTATTTCAGAAGGATTTGGAAGACTTGTGTCCTGATTCTGGGTTTAATTTGAAGAAAGCAGTCCCAACCCAGTACTTTTTTTTTCTGGTACCAGGAATCGAACTCAGGACCCTTCCCTTGCCAGGCAGGTGCTTGTGCTGCTGAGCTGGATCCCTGGCAACCCAGTAGTCTTGACCTCAACCTCAGTCCAAAATCAGAAGGAATCAGAACCAGGAACAGGCAGGACATTTTCTTCCCAGAGAGCCTGGTGACGCCCACCCTAAGGAAGGAGGAGTTTTGAGGTAGTTTTAGAGAAACACAAGTGTAGAATCTTGGGTTTGGGTAAACAGGTTTGGTTTCAGACTCCAATCTGACAGCGATTTCAGTTGTCATAAAAGGATAGCTCCCATGCGATGCAATCCAGCAACGTATCTCCTGAAACCATTCTTTTATTTTTATTTTTATTTTTCCTGATACATATCAGGGCTGTAGAAGCACTGTACCTTAAAAAACCAAATAAAAATTCCATTCTCAGAAATTCTATTTCTGTCACGTGCAGGTCTCAGTTCGAATAGGCTTTTCTAGGAAGAAAACATGAGTAGTTGGTTTGGGGCAGTTGTGAGTAACCACAACGAAGAGTGCTAAGTGAGATATTTCTAATTAACAGAACTAAATCCAAGTGCCTTGGTTTGGGTGTGGATTCTTTTCTAATGCAGTTGTGTCCTGAAACCAGGGTGGGTTGTCCTGCTTCTCTAAAATGTGTGAAGTGTTCAGTCACATGTCAAGGCCTGAAGGGGAAATAATTTTGTGCAGCACACACGTCAAATTTAAATTCTGCTTTTGCTGGCAAAATAAAGAGGAAGAGGTAAAGAAAAAGCAAAGGCAAGTGGGAAGTTTCTCACTCATTGCAGGGATTTTCAGCTTTCAGTGGCAGAAAGGCTTTATTCTCGTGTAAATTCTGTTAAATGGAGACAGAACTACAGATCTATGGGACACACAGGCAGTAATCAGGCATAATTTGTTGGAAAATGACGAGATGAGAGGGTTTGATGTCGTTACTAGATTCCACGTGGCAGAAACTTGGTCATTCAGTGACAGCCATGTTTTGTGTAATTCAGCCTTGAGCACCTGGCTGGTGACTTTCCAGTCTCTATCCTACATAAGCGAAGCATCATTTTCTAAAGTGCTCTTGGGAGCTGCAGAACACACAGGAAGGTGGAAAACAGAACGGTTTAGAAGCAGGCCATAAGTTTTTCTTCCTGATTACCTACCCACTAGCTTGGAATAAATAGCGCTGCTCTGTACGACACCATGGACAGCTCTCCCGGCGCCACCCGCCCGTCGGACCCGAAAGGCGAACGACTGTCCCTCTTCAGGCGGCGCCCGGCTGGCCGGGGAGGGGTAGGGGGTTGTCTCGACGCCGGGCGCGAGCACGTGCCAACCACTGGCCCCCCGAGTTCTTCCCCGGAGTCCCTCCTGGCGCTCACGGCGAGGGCTGGTGTGTTGCGAAGAGCCCGTGCGAGCGAGCAGGAGGCCGGATCTTCTCTCTCCCGGCATCCCGGGAGGGGCCGCAGCCGCGGGGCGGAGGGCGCGTTGGAACAAGGTCGCCGCAGGTGCCGCGGGGCGGTGGAGGGTTCCCGCCCGCCGGGCTGGGTGTGGGCGGGGCTCCGCGAACACCCCGCCCCTTCTCTCGCGAGGGGCGGCCCTTCCGCCCGCGGCCGCGGCGCAATGCGGAAGAGATGGGCCTGCTGGAGCGGAAGTGACGCTTCCCGGGGTTGTGGCGGCGGCGGGAGAAGGAGGAGGAGCCGGAGGAAGAGGCGAGCGAGCCGGCGGGGGGCGGGGAGCGGCTGCGGCCAGAGCCACCGGCAGCGGCAGCCGGGCGGGCGGCGGGCGCTTCCTGGAGCGGGCTCCACCGCCGCAGCCTCCGCGGGAGCGGTGAGGGGCGGCCGTGAGGATTCGGGGCGCGGGAGGGCGGGCGGGCGAGTCCGTCGGCAGACCGCGGCTTGTGCGAGGCGCCCTGTCGCGCGGGGGGCTGTGGTGACAGCGGCTGTCAGTCGCCCAGCGGGAAAGAAACCGAGTCAGTCTGAGCGCCGGGGCATTGCTTCTGGCGCATAATGGAGGCGTCGGGTTGCCCGGCGCCTGTTCCCCTAGGAAGGAATCGCTTTCTCGGGCATCAGATTGCCCGGGACCCCCGGAACCCCGATCGGATCCGCGCCCCGACTGGAGACTTTTCCCGATGGCCATTCGTAATTGGGCATCCCCCCTTGTCACCCCTCGGCGGGCGTTAACCTGTGCCGCCTTCCGTGTCCTGCCCTGCCCAGCGTGTCGCTCTGGGAGAGCCTGCAGCGTCCGATAATCCTCTCCCTCCGGCCCCCTAAGGAGCTTTGAACCAGCCTTGTTAACCTTTCCTCCACCCACCCGCTCCAGAGGACTGCCTTGAAGTTTCCCAGTCGGTTCCCTTCCCACATAATGACAGATCTTGAAGGAGGAAGCTGATAAACAACCCCGAACCAAAAATACGCTCAAAAATTTTCTTTTGGTAAACATAAATTAAACGGGAAACTCATCTTAAACCGTTCTTAGACTAACAGAGGCTAGAAGGGCGGCTTGCGTTGCCACGAGAATTGGCAGCTTTTCCTTTTTTGAAAATTTGGTGACGACTTATCTTGTAGAATAAATCTTTCACCCCTGAGCTTCCTTTTTTTTTTTTTAATACCCCCACCCCCACTCCAGTGAAAACCTGGCAGGGAGGGACTTGTGCATGTTGCAGTCCTTGCAGCAGAAGGAAACCTCGGCTTCATTTGCTTTGCTTTGCTTTGCTTTGCTTGGTCACAGGGCTGCCTCTGAAGAAAGGAGAATGGCGTTCAGCAAAGGATTTCGGATCTATCACAAATTGGATCCCCCACCTTTCAGCCTCATAGTGGAAACTAGGCAGAAGGAAGAATGCCTCATGTTCGAGTCTGGGGCCGTGGCCGTGCTGTGTAAGTCACCCTTTGTAACTCATATGCTTATGGTCTGTTTTTATATGAAATTCTCAAATTCAACAGGGTTGATTTATTTTTTTAAAAAAGGCTAACAGCCTTCTCACTGTATTGCCTCTAGAAGATTATGCTCCTGTTTTCTTTAATCAGACTTTATTTTCCCATAAACTTTCTTAGCAGGTGTTTGGAGAGGTGCAGGTTTTAGCAAGGGTAATCAAAGGATTATCCTTTTCCACATGTAATCTGAGACATGCCTGTAATCCCAGCACTCAAGACACCCCTATAATCCCAGCACTCAAGAGGCTGAGACAGGAGGATCGTAAACTCAAGGTTAAGCAAATCATTGTGTCCTCAGTGCATTCTAATCAAAGAACGTCCTTCTCCATAAAACATCCTTTTTGGCATTAATACTTGAGGAAGAACAATATTAACTCATATGGATAATTTTTACTCATCTTAGCATTAACTCAACTGTTGAGTGATTGATTTTATTTTTGCTGTGGTAGAAATTGAACCCAGTACCTCATGCATGCTAGGCAAGTGCTCTGCCACTGAGCCACATCCCAGCTCTTGCTTGTTTTTTGTTTTTTGAGCCAGAGTCTTGCTGTATGTTCAGGCTGCCCCTGAACTAACTGTATAGCCCAGGTGGGCCTCGAACTTGTGACAGTCCTCCTGCCTCAGACTCCCAATTGCTGGGATTACAGGCATGCACCACTAAGCCTGGCTCCCAGCTTTTAACGATGAATTCTATTTATCTTCATTAGATTTAGGCTGTGTAATTTTCTTAGGCTAAAAAGTTTGAATATTGCTTCTCTGTAAAGCTATTATAAAATGGGTGTTTAATCTCTTGAATATGTTCTTTCCCAAAACCAGTAATATTTAAAGTATATTTTAAAATTTAAATTTAGTTTTTAACATACATAAGAACATAAAAGTTATATATATATTTATGGAGTATCATGTGATTGATATTTTGATACTTGTATATATATTGTGTAATGTTTAAATCAAGTTAAATGTATCTCCTCAAACATTACCATTTGTTTATAGTGAAAATATGCAAAATCCTTTCTTTCAACTTTTTGACATATGTAGAGCATTATCTATAGGCAGACTATTTTACAATAGGAAAATACTAATATTTAAGAACTAATAATACTTTTTATAAATCATTTGACTAAAATATTAATTAGGCATTTAGTTTGAGTGATGCTAAGGTATATATTGTACTGTACAATTTTTTTTAAACCTTTACAGTTTCTAAATACTTATATTCAGGGAACTGTGCTTGAAAGAACTTGACATATTCTCTGAGTTTCAGTGCATCACGCATATGAATCTACCAGAAGAATCTTCTAAGATAATTTTTGATATTAAACCAATCTGGTTTTTCAGTAAGATTGACTTCAAATTCCTCAGCCTGTCAATCAAGGCCTTCCCTAATGGCCCTCCTTGTTTGGTCCAATTGATCTTTTTTTTTTTTTTTTTTTCCTGAGACAGGGTCTTGCTATGCTGTTCAGGCTGGCCTTGAGTTCACTTCGTAGCCCAGGCTGGTCTCTAACTCACAACGATCCTCCTGCCTCAGCCTCCCAAGTGCTGGGATTATAGGCATGTGCCACCACGCACAGCTCGTCCAATTGATCTTACAAGATGAACACTTTTTATATAGTTTTGTTCTTTTTTTTTATTTGTGTGTTTGAGTTTTTGAGGCAGGGTCTTGCTACGTAGTACAGGCTGGCCTTGGATGTACAGTGTAGCCCAGACTGGCCTCTTGATCCACCTGTCTCAGCCTCCTGAATACTAGGATTTCAGGTGTGCACCTGTGTTTTTCTTAAAAGTAAGTGGTGAAAGAGACTCTAGGAGGACTTGATCTTCATGTACCAAAAGTATATAATTTCAGTGGTGTGTAGTTGTCTAGGTTGAAAGAGTAAAGTTCTAAAATTAAGCATTTTCGTCAGCACAGTGTTGAGAGTTATCATTTATTTCTCTTGGTTTATGACAGAAGAGTCGTGAGATACCAAGCAGGAAAACTTATCTTTCATTTTATTAGCACGTAGGAAAATACAGGTTGCAAATGGAATAGTTTCAGACTATGTATCTCCTTAGGCACTAAATGTCCACTGACTCTGACTTAGAACTGCCTTTAGAGTCCTGTTGATAGGATTCCCTCCTCCAGTCTGTCCTAATGCTATGACTTAATCAGTGCACCAGTGGCTTTCAACCCTGGCTGTACTAGAATCTGTTGGGGAGTTTCCACAAATACTAGTGCCTGGGCACCAGACCCCCTCCCTGCCAATTCTGATATAATTAGATTGGGATGATAATTTCTGAGCAGAGTTTATATATTCCTTGATAGATTAGGGGATTACCGTTTTGGCTTGCAGGTTTTATTCAGAGTAACCATATTTCCAGGATGTTATATCATTATTGCCCATGATGGGACTAGTAAATAATTTTTTTGAAACCTTCAGCATGAAACCAAGTATTAGTACTCCCATAGCGCTGTTGGAATATTGTTTTCATATAACAGGGAATTGTGTTCCTATTTCTGTGTCTGGATTCTAGGCTCCTTGAGGAGAAGGCCTGTGTCTTAGTAATGTTGCATGGGACTGGTTACTTAACTGTATCCCTACAGCTTAGTACAGCTTTGTACTCATTTGAAGAATAGTTATTAAATGAAAGACCTTAGGGAGAACAACTAACTTAAATTAGATTACAAAGTTGACAAACTCACAGGTAGTATATAAACAGTATCTTTTTTTAAATTTATGCTATCCTGAGGATTGAATGGATTCCTTTTTTTTTCATATTATGAAACATGAGTCATAATACTAATAGGACTGTATTCTGGAGATCTCAGAATGTCAAACAGCTTCAGTTTAGTTTCTGTGAAACTGCATAATGTAAAGAAGTGAAAATAATGAAAAAATAGCTTTTTTCAGTAAAAAATAATGAGACATTTTTCTGGAAATTTACTCTGCCAGTCACAAGATTAAGCCAGGGGTTTCTAAACTTTCTCTTTTCATGGTGACTTCAGAGTCTCATTAAGTTTTCATAGCGCCCTTAAGGTACAAACAATATCTAATAGTTCTATTTATTAAATAGTTCTAGATGACCAAACGTAAATACTTAAGTCTCAACAGTTAGTAACCAAGGAAAATAATGCCACAAAATGAAAATGACTATTTCCCTCATAAATAACAACAGCTATTTACTAATGGGATGTGTGGGCCTGTTGAATACTGAACAGCTTTTCAGTCAGTAGAACACTGCCACCCTATGCTCCTGTTCTACTTTGATTTTCAGTGGCATTTTCTGTTTATCACAGCTACCAAAAACCGAGCTTCACAAAGGTCATCCAAAGATGTATTGCAGTCTGATGTTGAAACTCTGAATTACTTCAGGCTAGTAGAAGCTGTCCAACATACATTGAGAATCTAGAATCTGTTTCTTTTAAAATACGTTGCAGCTCCCCTAGGAGTTTACTGCAGTAATTGGGGCATCTCAGCATACAGTGTGGCATTTGACATAGTTTTCTCATTCAGTTCTGTGGGTTACACTTTTCTCTGTGTTTTACAGATGTAGAAATAGGCTTGAGAAGATTAAACAAATGCTCCATGGCATAATTCTTCCGTTTTTCCTACTGTAATTGTTGTTTGTGCTGTTATGGGGGTGATGGCTATTATTTTTTTGGATGGGGAATAAAGAGCAAAAAGAAGCAAAGCCAATAGGAGAGTTTAAAGTTAAGACTGAAATTGGTAACGGTTTCAAAGGAATTGTTAAACTTGTGTTTTTTTCCTGTAGACTGTTGATGGTTAGTACATTAGAAGGGAAATATGATTTAATTTAAAGTAAGGATTTTAAATACATAAAATCTTTTTGCTGGACCAAGTTAAATGTCAGGTTCTACAATTTTGGACATCAAGTATAGTAGGTGGTAATGACAAGCAGTGTGCATAGTTTTTAAAATTTTAATTGCCAACTGCTGTCAGTCAGCACAGTTGGCCTTTAGATAAGTCACAGTATCCTATCCCTTGAAAAAAAAATTTGTAAGCTTAAAGAAATGACTTTTTATAGTTGACTATTTTAGCAAAGAAATGATGAAAGCTAGACTTGTTACATATCACTCGTTTTCTTTTTATAATTTTTGTAATGGATATATTTAATAGAAAATAAATAGCAACTTAAATATCATCTCTTCAAAAGAAATCAACACAGCTTTTCCATTATGGGTCTGTGTCAGGACAGACTACTAATTTAGGACCAAACCAGTGGTTCTTAGATTGGGTTGGGTTGTTTTGTTTTGTTTTGTTTCGTTTCGTTCCGTTTTGTTTGAAACAGAGTCTCACTATGTAGTCCAGGCTGGGCGTGAACTCACTGTGGAGCCCAGGCCTGCCTTGAACTTGTGGCAGTCCTCCTGCCTCAGTCTCCCTATAAGTGCTGGGATTACCAGTGTCTACCACCATGCTTTGCAAAATGAGTAAATAGGTCCTAAGTGTTCACGTTTCTTTACTGCTTTATTTTTGCTGTGAGGAAATAAGGCAGAATGTCTCTCTAACTGAACAATAAAACCCCCTTAGATGAGTTTATTGCATGATGTCAGGTCTATGAGATGTCTGATTTGTCTTATAAAATATAACTACTCCTGTAATGGGATTTTTCCTTCAGACCATGAATATTACAGTTTATATCCAGATGTTCCCCCCCGCCCCCGAGCCTCATGTGCTCATAGGTGGGGCTTTGGGAGGCAATTGGATCGTGAGGGTCTGATACTCATCAGTGGGTTAGTTTACTGATACATGTACAGGTAAATATGATGTTGGGGGTGAAGCCTGTTTGGAGGCGGTGGGTCACTGGGGACATAGCCTGGAAGGATCTCCCTCCCCTTCCCTTAATCTTTCCATGCTTCCTGGCTGCCATACCAGGAGCAGCCCTCCTCTGCCATGCCCCTCTGCTATGCTGCTCTGCCTTGGAGCCAACCAACTATGGACTGAAACCTC